TGACAGTGAGGAAACAGGACACCGCCGACAATTAAACAGTGATCTGAAAGCAGCCGACCGTTGTCATTCAGCGTCCCGGCCATGCTGATCCACCACATGATACCAAGTGGAACTGTCCCCGCCAACCTGCGCGTTTATGTCATGAGCGATGATCGATAACTGATGGTGTGGAAGAGAACCAAAGAACTGCGCGTAAACAAGCATAAAACTAGTCCTACCTATAGGTAGCGACAGCGGTAGATGCGTACACGATCACGACTCTGGCCTTTTATTCCCTTAGGGGATCGGCTGACCGAGCGTCCTAAGTAACGGGTATCACATCACTGTGAACGGTCGGGAAACTGCTATACTGGATTTTCCCAAAAGACCTAAGGCAACCAGATGATGGAAATTATCGCCTAAATCACACAGGCTTCTGGACGAGAGATTCGTGGACTGGCGAAATTTTTACTTTTTTAAGAATTAATTAGCAATGCTAAACAGTGAGGTTGTCTCGTTTCGACAGTTTCTTAACTTTAAATCTGGGCATGATTTAGTTCTTGACCCTACTACGTGAAAAATTATGAAATGCCATAAGATTTAAAAGCATATCATTCGAATTTTGCAACAGACGCATGCAGAAACTACCTACTCTCACAGTCGAAGAAAAGTTGTCAACTGTTCGCTGCTAAACTATGGAGTGCGAGAGAGAACTGTGCTTTCGCTTTGTCTGTCTAACATTGTCCTCAAACTTGGTCTCTTAAACAGTTATGACTAGGCGAAGAACGAAGGCATCATCCATTATAGCTCAAGATATCCAAAGTGGGTTTTGCCATCTGATGGCTTCCGCATGTGATACGACTGTGAAAGTAACCTCTTCCTTAATACAAAAAAGTGGGAAGTCATGAGGAGCCCAAGCTTTTAAGCTGATCTATTAGTTGAACAGAGAGGTGAACCGCTTCAGGATGTTGACCAGTTTAAGCATCAGAGTACCGTCATTTCTAACGACGGCATTATCGAACCATAGTGAAAGAGGAGGATTGCTCTAGCGATTTTGAAAACCTCTCCAACATTTTGGCAGAGTCACTCTTCCCATGTAAATCCGCCTGTCAGGTCAGGTATTTTGTACAGCAGGAAAACAGCTGTCATAATGAAGAAGCAAGAACGACGACTACAGCAACGTCACCTTCGACATAAAATGGTGGTTAAATGTAAATTACATTTAAGTAATGATTCTCATCTCTTCTGGGTGCAAGTGACCTCAGTCTAAGGAGAGAATAAGAAAAGGAGTCTCGCTGAGCATAAACAGCATACTCAAGCCCGTGAGCTTCCCGCACAGAAGTCGGAACAAGGCAGACTTCGACCCGGAAG